TTGGGCGCATTGAAACTATTTGGTTCATTGCCAGGAGCTGGTGTACTCGGCGTGTTCGGGGTATTAGGAAGCCCGGGCATGGAGGGTTGATTAGGAGTGTTTGGCGGGTTGGGAGGATTTGGTCCGTTATCACGTCTTTCTTGGATACCGGAAGGGGAGGTTCCTGAGATGTGTCGTATCTGATTCGAAATGCTCAACAACATGGAGGAGGATCCTAGCAAGTTACGCACCTCACAATGATCTCTTCTCACAAAGCTCTGCAGAAATTCTGGAATCGCCAGGGTATTTGCAGCAAGAAGCATTGTCAAAGTGGAGTACTGGAATTTCATTACGGATATAACACAGGTCAGAGTGGGTAGCGATTGTTTTTATACGTACGAAGTGTGGGTCACCGATTGTAGAATTGTGGCGCTCTGTGCCTCCTTTTTCGCGGTATGGAAGATCGTGATACAGAAGCCCCACTTGCTCAATAGGGTCACTAAGTTGGGTTACCAAACGATTCCAGAACAGTCAAGGGGCTAGGTGAGGGTAGTCGGCCTACTTGTCACGTGTTCTCTACTCCTATACTTTGAACCTCGGCGGAATTTAGGAGACTTTACAGTAGTCCAAATGTCGCGGGTTACTTTGGAGGCACACACAGACTGAGGAGGAGCTAGAAGTTCGTACTTCAAGGAGGTATATGTTCGATGACAATACTAATATGCCATATCACATACGGATCAGGGGACCTATTAAAACGAAATCTCAACAAGATACTTTCAGCAGGTAAAATGAACAGGTACTCACCACTTACGCCGTTGATGAGCGGTGAAACGAAGAATCAGAAATACCGGAATAGTTGTTCGACGTGAAGTTCATTAAAATGTCCGAAGTCCTTACAGGGGATTGACATCTCCACAGAAAAACTAGGAATAACATCATACAAATCTTGGTATTGATTTCTATATGCATATTGTCGTCAGGAAAATCGTGGTCAGGAAAAATTCTAGCTATGTTGGAGTCAAGGGCACTCACAAAAAAGAAATAATCTTAATTCACAATAATCACTCGTCATATCTCTTCGGCGCAGCGGCATTCGCAATCAGCAACAGCACACACATCATGGCCAGGACTGCCATCTTGACCATGAAACCAGTCAAGAATATGTGAAACATGCCCACCATGCCGGCACGTTTGACACATGACAATAGTATCTTCCATAGTGTCTGTAATGTGTATTCAACCTCCGCGCTACTTCTATAGGAGACCAACGAATAATGCAAACCTTTCAATGAATGAGTATGCAAGAGTGCTGCTTCACGAGCCGCATCTCGCACGATAGAAAGTGTCATCAAACAGATCGAGCATCTTGGCAAAGACCGATTACAGTGAAAACATGCAGTTGGCTGCACGATATGCTTAGTTAGTCTCTCTATGATGACCAAGAATGGAAAGCATACTCTTCCCATTTGTTGGACTCCCCCAGCCTCCGCGTCACCACCAGGTCCATCAGGAATGACAGGTTTGTTACAATAGTTGCATCGTATGATGATCTGTTTTGGAACCCAGTCGCCTATGTTAACTGCACCTCTCTTGAGAGCAATATGTCCTCTCTCAATGTCGAACTCGACTCGGCGATGGTACATCTTGAAACCATCCAACAAATCCCGGTAGCTCTCCACCCATCGTTCTACACGTCTTTCCATAGCCGATACGCCCCTGACCTGATTCGGGTTGCACGGAGGGTACACTAAAGAACCCATGATCGCTGCACTCTGAACATCGCCTGTGTGATTGACAAATCCTTGGAGGATGTCCAGACCTGCCTTGCTTGAAAGTCCCGGGATGATGATGGCGTCAATGTCACCACGACTTATGGCACGATCTTGGCATCGTCGAAGGTATGAAGTCACAGCCTTATCATCAAGGAACTGAAAGGCGATAGCAAGCCGCTCTCGGAAGGGCAAAGCTTCCTCTTCTAAGACTTCAGACCAATCGTTCAGTGCCAAGTGGGTGAGAATGGCGCGAAAATAGGGATCTTGGACTCGCACGATAAGCCGCTCGCAATGTTCACGGAGCTCGGTAGTTTTGGGACCGTGAGGAACGAGGGCCGCAATAGTGCCTGATAGCATACAATGCGACTCGTCTAAGATCGATTTCTATAATTAGTTCCGTAGCTATGTTTTGACTGAAAAGTGACACAAGCCTCACCAGAACTCTTCATAAGTAGAGATATCGCTTTAGCATGTTGCTTCGTAAAAACCAACCAACATGCTACTTTGGATAGCTCCCCCTCAGCTTCCCACCTACCAGAAGGGTATGAGCATGCATGAGTACATGTACGATTTAAAGGAAAAGCAGAAAATAATATACCCTTGAAGCACCTTCGCAAAGTCATCCTCCCTGAAACTCCATCCAATTAGCTGCAACGCTACCTGTCTGTGTAGTGCTTTAGATGTGACAACAGGAGGTTTCCACGGGCGGTCCCTGCGCGCTACCAACGCTCCTATTGCAGCAGTAAAATTGCCATACAGCTCGTCTATCGATGGATGGGACTCCCATTGTTCAGAGAGATCATAGTAGTTGTTTGTTGCGACTAGGTTGGGACCCTGAGTGACAGGAAGCGGCTTAAAACCTTCCCATATCCCGAGAAGACCCTGATAGGAAAAGTCGAAACCATGTAGTACGGACTTGGGAACGCACAAGTATTCATAGGAATCTGTGGTCATATTCAAGGTTTGATTCGCCAACAAAGAGATCATTCCGTACGACATATCCATGCCCACAGTTCAATGAGAACCTGTGTCCGGGCGTGATGTGGAGGATCGCATATCTGGACGATGTCAAGATTTTTCCTGGGTTGCGATTCATTAGGCTGTCATCATACATGAGTCGAATGCATAATGCCTGATAGGAAGGGGAAGCTCTTACATCAAAAAGTCCATATCCTCTCATCGCTCTCCTCTTGATAATCATCAATATGTCATCTTCCACAACTTGGGTGACCCCTTTCGTTCCAGTTGTTCGTCTTCCTCTACTCGTGCTATGGTTCCGTGATACCAACTCCCCAGTATCCCTTCCTAAAGAAAGACCCAATGCACTCCCTTGTACCTTCTTCACGACATCACCTGCAGCACCAAAAAGAAAGGGATGTTGATCTGGTGGTTGAGGCATAACTGGGCCTGACTTGTCCTTCTGTCTTCCGCGCAGAATTGACTGTTCTCTGGATCGCGATTTACCTCCGCTGGTGGTCATGGCCCGTCCAAAAAGAGAGCTTGTACTCTGCA